GATATACTGATATCCACCTGCTCTTAAGGTCTGATTCCCTAATGTTAACTAAAATGACAGTCAATTACCTAAGAGAAATGTCTCAGAAGTTTAGTATTGAAACTATTTTTTCCCCTAGCACCTTCAGTGAATCAAAATCACATAGTTTTTGTAAAAACTATTTTTCTTTTCCTTCTCTATTTTTTATTAAATAGCTATACACAGGGGTTTCAACTTGTTTTTCTTTTCTTTTGGCCCTGTGTCAAAAGAAAACATCAGACTGGCATTGAACATGTGATTCTCTTGCCTCTCAGCCTCTGGGTTGTTGGGATTACAGATGTGCAACACCAAAGCCTGCTAAATTGCTTTATAGATAGCTCTTATCTGGCATATGGAAATAGATTTGCCCTCTAGGTTAACAATATATATCTGGCTTTCCTAAGCAAAGTTATGAACATTCAACTACTAAAAATTCTATCCACAGACTTCAAGAACTCTTATTATTTTTGTAACATCATGTAACCATTTTGAGAAACTAAATGTTACTTTATACCAATAGTTCTCTCAAGTGAGCCTGAGACTTAAATTCTTTTTTTTTTTTTTTTTTGGGTCCGGTCATGGGACCTGAACTCTGGGCCTGGGCGCTGTCCCTCAGCTCTTCAGCTCAAGGCTAGCGCTCTACCACTTGAGCCACAGCGCCACTTCCGGCTTTTTTCTTTTTGCTTATGTGGTGCTGAGGAATCGAACCCAGGGCCTCTGGCATGCAAGGCATGCGCTCTACCACTGAGCCACCTTCCCAGCCCTGAGACTTAAATTCTAAACTGAGGTGAATCTCTCCTGTAGGCCACAACACTCTGCTGCTTCTGAGCCTAGCATCATCTTTCATTGATGCCTGGGCTTTGCCTCCACCACTAGCTGGGGTCTGGTCTGAGCATGAGGAACAGTCACCTTTGCCCTGGTGAGCCTTCATCAGACAGTCCCCAATGAGCTGCATGCACTGGCTCTGAAGGATGGCAGCACTGCTGCGGGCCTGAGGACCCAGTTCTTCCTCATCCATGTCCTCTGTGCTGGTCACATGGGAACTATAGAAAGCCAAGGCAGCACAGAGCAGCCAGGAGGCATTGTGGATATATGGCTGGATGAGCCTCTGGCGGTCACTGATCTGGATGGTCACCATGGGGTGGACTGTGATGCTATGGTTAGGCAAATGGCTGCAAAGGCAAGACATTCGTATGCATTTGTGACTCCAAACATGAACCCAGACTTGGCTGCCACTGAACATTAATACCTCTAGGTTGTTGGTATTGAAATTTTAAGGGGAGATATGGGCTTGCACCTCGGAAAAAAAGAACCAACACTGACATACCACTTCTGGATTTCATAACCCCCTTGAAAACTGCCTGTGGAAATCAGGCTAAGTAAAAACTCCTTATTGTGAATTTTGCAAGATGTGGAAATACTGTTTTGGTAATATGAGATAATGCTCATAACTTAGAGGTAAATATATAGTACACAACACAAAATGATTTAAGATATTAAATTTGTTTAAAATCCTTTAACAAGCTGAGTGTAGCAGCATAAGCCTGTAATCCCAGCACTTGGGAGACTAGGGTGAAAGGATTACGTTCTTGGAAGACTCAAGTGGGAGGATTGTGAGTTCAAGGTTGGACTAGGTAACATAATGAGAACTTCTCTTAAAAAGCAAAGCAAAACAAAAATAAAAAACTTTATGGGGGGAAAAGACTCAAATAAACTTAAGAACATATAACAAAATCTTCTTAATTGCTGAATCTGGGTAGTGAGTATATAAAGGTTCACTACAGTGAACTAGTCTCTCTAGTTATGGCTAGGTTTAAAATTTTTTAATAAGAAAAACTTACTTTAATAAAGGGAGGGCTTAGTGTAGAACTAAGTGGTAGAAGACATGTGTAGCATGTGAGGTCCTGGGTATGATTCTCATCACTGGGGAAAAAAAGAAACCACAGAGCTTATTTTTTTTAATTAAAAATATGCTTTTACAATATTTGGTATTTGAACCCAGGGCTTCATGCTTGCTGGGCTCTTCCATTTGAGCCATATCCCCAGATCTCTTTTCTTTAGTTTTTCTCACATCTTTTGCTGGAGGTGGGCCTCAGATTGTGATCTTCCTACCTAAAAGCCTCTTACATAACTGTGATCACAGATGTGTACCATGATACCTAGCTTATTGTTGGAGATGGAATCTCATTAGCTTTTTGCCCGAATTAGCCTCAAATCATTATCCTCTTGACCTCTGCCTGCTGAGTAAATGGGACTAGAGACCTCATGTGACCATGCGTGGCCTAATACTAAAGTTCATATTATTTGTTGGTTCTTGCCTCTTGATAGCAGGGACTCTCTTTTTGGTTCACTGTTCTATCTTCTAGCTCCTTGTTTCAAGCCTGGTATACAGAAGATATTAGATGAATAGTTGTATGAATGGATGATTCAGGATTTGTATTCCAGGAGTCAATGTCCCTGGCTGTTCTCTAATTTGTGAGACTGTTTTCTGAGGCCTGCTTCCCCCAAATTCCAGGCTTCTGGAAGAAGTATGGGGCAGCTTCGACCATATTTTCATGTTAAATACAATTTCCCACTAGCAACTGGTGCAGTGGGCATACGTGGATTATAGGAGACCCCAGAAAAAGTGAACTGACAGTGGAGGTCAGAACTTGGCTTTTAAAAAAATCTAGTGCTTGTGTGTGTGTGTGTGTGTGTGTGTGTGTGTGTGTGTGTGTATGTATGTATACACATATGTGTGCTGGTCATGGGGTTTGAGTTCAGGACCTGGGCTTTTTTCTGTCTCTCTTTTTTCTTTTTGTCAGCCATGGGGCTTGAACTACGGGCCTGGGGCACTGGGCCACAGCACCACTTCTGGCTTTTTCTTGAGTAACTGAGGTAAGAGTCTCATGGACTTGCCTCCTGGGCTGGCTTTGAAACATGATCTTCAGATCTCATCCTCCTTGAGTAGCTAGGATTGTAGATGTGAGCCACCAGCACCCAGCAAAGGCCTGGGCTTTTTTGCTCAAAGCTAGTACTCTACCACTTGAGCCGTAGTTCAAGTTTTTTTTTTTGAATTAAGAGTCTCATGGACTTTCCTGCCAGGTCTGGCTTCTAACCATGATCCTCAGATCTCAGCCTCCAGAGTAGTTAGGATTACAGGCATGAGCCACTAGTGCCTGAACAGCAGACTTCTTACTAAGCAAAGATATACACCAAGAAGATGTGAAGTGTGTACAAGTCATCTGAGACATACCCATAGGAATATTTCTTTGCTGCATAACATCCATAGCAAAGATCAAAGAGATCACACACATTGCAGTTCATTCTTCGGCCTATGATCAAACCCTGGCAGTGGTCACAGGTAAACTCCATGTTGACCATTTCATTGTCATCTCCATGGCCTTCAGGCTTCACTCCACCTAGACAGAAAAGAGCAGTGTGAAGTGGATGGAACCGAGTGCTTTGAGATAGGCCAAAAAAAACCAATCCAAGCACTACAGCTGCTCCACATCTATTGTTCAGGAGGGCAGAGTCCACACACATCTTCTGGAGACCAGTTAGCTCTGTCCTGATAACTGAGTGCATAAATGATATTTTCATGAAATGATAACTCCTCTGTATAACAACTTAATAATAACAATAAAATTATTAAAAATTATATTCTCAGCACAGAGCTGCTGGACAATGGCATACTGCAAAAATCAATTCCTAGCATGGTTGCTGTTTGGCAGACACAAGCCCACAGGTAGATTTGTGAGATTTCTCCCATGACCCTCTTTTGACAAGAGTTAACCATCTGTTGGTGCCTCTGTTAGCAAGCACTGCAGAATGATCAGAAGACAGTATGACCAGTGAGTAAGAGGGAATCAAAGGCATGCCTCTTCCTTACTCCATGGCATCTCCAACCTGATTTGGACTCTGCTTTATACGTCATATTTTATTGCCTCTGTTCTTACTACCATGAACCTGGTCCTGACTCCAATGCCTTTGTGACTATAGAGACTGATTTCCTAAGTGAGACTGACACAGACATGCTTTCCTCCTTGAGACTTTGTTAATATCTCCCTGTTTTCTGCAGACTTCAAATTACTAAACCTAACATCTTGGGGTCTCACAACCTGAGCTCTGCCTGTGTTAATCCATCACTTATTTGGACAGTCACTAAAGTGTCTACCTAAATGCCTTCTAGATGCTCACCTCTGTACTTGGGCTTGTTCTACCCTCTGTAGCATTTAGTTCATATCACCTGACTGTAACTTTCTTCAAAAACCAGCTCTTATACCATCTCCTCCATGACAGAAATAGTATAGAAGTGCTGCTATACTACCAAATTTTTCTAGAAAAAGTCTGCACTACTTATTTATTACTCAACACATCACTCTTATACTAACAGTACTTCAGGGCAGGGGCTGTATCTCTTACTATAGGGCCAACAGACAAGAAGCCCCAATGTTCACCATTGTCAGTGTACTTTGCTTCAGTACATACAAGTCAAATGTACTAAAGAATTTTTGAAGTTTGCATATATACATACATACATACACATACATTTATGTTTATATGTATATTTTTATTTAAAGTCAATAAATTTGTATTTAATCATTTTTACATGTTGTGATTCCTTCACTGCCCATCGAAGTGAAGCTCAAGATATCTCTTGAAATCTAAGGCAGTCCTTTTTGAAGCAAACAATTCAAGCCAGCCATACCACTGTTCAGGAGGCCAATATCTAGTCGCTATGTTCAAATGACCAACAAAAAGCTGAAACTCTGATCAACCCTGCCACAAATCTTTTATTAGGGCTTCTTTTAGCGCTATTACAGAATTACTGATGACATATCTAAAATCTTTGAAATGTCATTCTGCAAGCAAATTTTGGGATCACTTTTTAAGTCCAACAGCTTGATTCAATTGCTGACTGCCTGCCTAGAGAAAGAAAAGCATTTGCTGAGAAGATCATTTATCCTAGGTATTATCAATATGAATTTTCAAACCGTATATATTGTATCAAAAGAAATTCCAGGTTTACCATGGACAAAGCCAAGAAAACCAACGATGCCAGATATTGAATTTCTATTGCACTGTCCTTTGAACACATCAGCAGGAGGTATTGCTGAGTGCATATACCATACAGTGCAATGTATGTATGTGTATATATGTATATATACGCATATTTATATGTGTGTGTGTGTGTGTGTGTCATGGGGCTTGAACTCTGGGCCTGGGCACTCTCCCTGATCCTCTCTGTGCTTAAAGCTAGCCTTCTACCACTTGAGCCACAGCACCACTTCCAGCTTTTTCTGTTTATGTGGTACTGAGGAATTGAACCCAGGGCTTCATACATGAGAGACAAGCACTCTATCCTTAAGCCACATTCCCAGCCCCAATGAGAAGTTTTTAAATGGCAAGATCACATAAGCTTAAAAACAATTATTACTATTGAGTATGGCATACTCAAGTTTACCTTGGAAGCAAGTTTTGCAGAGATCCCTGTCACTGCATTGAAGACACCGGTAGCCATGCCAGGGAGCAATCTCATCACATCCATCACAAGAGATGTCCACATTTAGCAGGTCACAGTAGCGAGCAATGAACAGTGTATCTGTAAGTTGAAATGAACATGATTAAACAAGTTTCTTATGTGGTCACTATTCATTAATTCACTTAAGAGGTACTTAAGTTTTCTAGGCACATCGGATGCTGTGGCTTACACCTACAACTTCAGATACTGGGATGGTGAGGATTAGAAGGATCACAATTCAAGGCCAGACAAAAAGTTAGCAAGATATCATCTCAACAAAACAACTGGGTTTGGTTCTGGCACCTGTCATCCCAGGTACTCAGGAGACTTAGATAGGTAGATTATAGCCCAGGCTGGTCTGGGCCTCCTCCCTTTTCTCTCCTTCCCATCCTCTCTCCCCCAAAGCAAGGCTGCTTGAAAAATAACTGAAATAGAAAAGGCTGAAAACAAATCTAGGCAAACTGTACTAGGTGATAGTAGCTAAGATTTGTAGAAGAACAAAATAAGTGTCTATCTGGGAATTCCCTCAAAAAAAGCAAATTGTGAACATAGTGTTGTAAGTGCTTTGGTAGGCAAATTTAGGGAACGTAGCAGTACAAGATGCTGTCCATAATATTGGAAAGGTCGAGAAAAGATTTTCCTTTAACTGAGACCAAGGGACAAATAGATTGTGTGTGGGTAAATGTGACAGGTGTATCAGATAGAAGGAGTAGTACAGCTCTGACAGAAAGGGAGCAAATAAGGGTTTATGGTGTCATGTAATAAGTAGAATTCAGGCCAGAGTGGAAATGATCAGATGTAGTTAGAAAGGCTAAGCCAGTAAGGTGTCAAACACTAGTCTAAGAAATTACTCATTTTTTGGTTGGTCATGGGGTTTGAACTCTGGGCCTGGGTGCTGTCCCTCAGCTCTTCAGCTCAAGGCTAGTGCTCTACCACTTGAGCCACAGTGCCATGTCTGGCTTTTTCTGTTTGTGGATGCTGAGGAATCAAACCGATGGTCTCATGCATGTGAGGCAAGAACTCAATCACTGAGCCACCTTCCTAGCCCCAGGAATCACTAATTTTTTTAAACTGAAGAGTAATAGGAGTAGATTTAGTGTTCTCAAGGTTCCTCTGCTGGCTAAGAAGAGACTGAAAGGAACAAGACAGGAGCTAGGGAGACTAACCGTGACAGTGTTGGCTCTAAGGGTGGAATTGCATGCAGGTGGAACAGAGCTGACTTAAGAGGTACTAAGGAGGCAGGATGGGTAGCACTAATTTGGTATGGGGGTAAAGGACAAGCAAGAGGGACTGGGAAGGTGGCTCAGTGGTAGAGCGCTTGCTTTGCATGCTCAAGGCCCTGGGTTCGATTCCGCAGCACCATATAAGCAAAAAGAAAAAAGCCGGAAGTGGCGCTGTTGCTCAAGTGGTAGAGCACTAGCCTTGAGCTGAAGAGCTGAGGGACAGTGCCCAGGCCCAGAGTTCAGGCCCCACGACCAGACCCCCCCAGATAAAAGGACAAGCAAGAACAGAATTTAAATGTTTGGTCTGGGTACTCAGTTGGACAATGACAGTGCATACAGACACAGAAATATTGCAAGAACACTCCTTCCTGATACTTAAAAATGAACCAAGTATGGTGCCATACTCCTAAGTTTGAGGCCACCTAGGGTTTCATAATGAGATTCTGTCTCAACTTTCCCACACTCCCCCTTCCTAGAAAACAAAGAAAAAAATGAATAAAATCCAGAAATAAATCCTTCCTGTGGAAACAGTAAAATCAGTGTTTCATGATCAAGCAATTGTTACCGAAATGCACTTAGAGACGACAATACATTCTTTCAAGTCTAGAAATAAGAATAGAAAATATGTAGGAGAAATCTCCCATGACACCTGAGCACTATAGAATGGTTTCTAATCAGGTACTAATAAGGATCAGCTGGTATGCTCTAACCAAGCACCACAGAAGTGCTATATAAACAAACAAACTATATATATATATAAAGTATATGTAAAGGTGGCATACAGTAGGTATTCAATACAGAGAAAAATGAATGGCTATGAGGCAGCAGATATCTGACACTTATGCTAGTGACATAATACTTCATGTAAGTCTCATATCTAAAATATACTTGGAACTCAAAAAATTAAATCCCCCAACAACAAATCCTCAAAGAAACAACTGCCAAATAAATAAGTGGGCTAAAGACTTAAAGAGAAACTTCTCTGAAGAAGAAAGAAGGATGGCCAATAGACACATGAAGAAATGCTCAACATCCCTAGCCATAAAAGAAATGCAATTCAAAACAACATTGAGATACCACCTCACTCCAGTTAGAATGGCAAAAATCAAGAACTCTAACAACAACAGATGCTGGAGGGGATGTGGACAGAAGGGAACCTTACTTCATTGTTGGTGGGAGTGTAAACTTGTTCAACCACTTTGGAAAGCAGTATGGAGGTTCCTGAAAAGAGTTCACATAGACCTCCCCTATGACCCAGCAATCCCACTTTTGGACATTTACCCAAATGTTTACAAACAAAACCACACTAAAGCTACCAGCACAACTATGTTTATTGCAGCATTATTTACCATAGGTAAGATATAGAACCAACCCAGATGCCCCTCAGTAGATGAATGGATCAAGAAAATGTGGTATATGTACACAATGGAATTATATGCCTCCATCAGAAAGTATGACATTGCCCCATTTGTTAGGAAATGGAAAAACTTGGAAAAAATTATATTAAGTGAAGTAAGCCAGGCCCAAAGAAACATAGGTCCCATGGTTTCCCTTATTTGCAATATCTAGTATATGTATGAGTCAAGCGGAAAAGGTCAGATAATGTGATGTTAGGAAAATGAACCCTTAGATATGTATTTTAATGTTTTTTTCCTTTCTTGCATTTGTTTCTAACGCATTTATAAGATTATCTCTTTGTAGCTTTGTATGTCCCTCCCCCACAGTATAACCCCTGTTTTCACTATATTTGATGTCAGTATAACTTGTAGAGGAGATGGGGAAAAACAAGTCGTTTAAGGATCCAGGTGGACCTGTTGCAACAATGAGAAGTACAAGCTGTCATGTCGAAAACGAGCTTTACAATGTTGGTGCGGGGGGGGGGGGGGGGGAGGCAGGGAGGATTGGGGGGGGGAGGCTGGGAAAGGATGTGAAGGGTAAACAAAGGAGGAGGCTGCAATGCTTGATAAGAAATGTACGCATTAACCTGCCCATGTAATTGTAACCCCTCTGTACAGTGTGTTCACAAAAATTAAAAATTAAAAAAAAGAAAAAAAAATAATACCTCATGTAAGATGACAGGCAGCTGCCTGAGCCCAATGCTTTTTCTCATCTGAATCATCTAACTTTGATTTAGTATGCTCAGTGTAGGCTTCCCACTGGAATGTGGCTTCTGTAGTACTCATCTACAGGAATAGAATGGTCTGCCCAAAGGATACTAAGCATTCAAGCCATTCAGCAATTGCATATGCTTAAGTCTCTTACACATACTATTTGTGTGTAACCTGCACAAAGGAGACTGTTAGTATACATCAGCCTTGTGAGCCACTCTTCTTCAAATCCAGCTCTATGGAGGGAGCCACTCTGATGGGTCATATCAAGATGTAGAGCTCCGCAGGTTAATCTCAGAAATGCGATCCTTAATGTCCCCTCCAGGAGCTCTCTCTGGAGACAGCATGCTGGCACACTCCAGGCATATTCTCTTTTCCAAACTCCTTGCAAGTCACCCAGATTACTCTAGTTGAGAGGTCTTACTTCCCTCTGCTTCTCTGGATCCTCCTGGGCTATTTTTTCATACCAGGCCTCAAACATGCCAACCTGACAGTCATCCATCCATTCTGAATTCTGCTTGGCATCAGCAAGCTCAACCTCTTCATTTCACTGGCTGAAAAGACACAAGAGAAAAGCATGCCTCTCCTGGTACCCAAGAAAAGTGTTAGTTAGCAGACCTTGTGTTCCACAAGTCTAACAGATTGAGTATTTTTAGTTACTTTTTATTTTTCTAAATAAGAAAATTTACTATATTTCATAACTGTTAACAACTTAAAAGCAAATGTTTCATGTATAAAGGACAGCTAACCATTTTATAAATCATCCAATTAATTTTATTAGCATACATTAGATGTTCAAGGGGGTTTCATTGTGACATTTCCCACATGCATATAGTGTATCCTGATCTTCCTTACCACCTCCATCTCTCTCCATCATCCCATTTCCTCTTAAAAACATTCCATCATACTTTATCATTCTGTCTTTATTCACTTCCCTTCTAGCCCTTCCCACTCCTACTTGCTTTCCTTCTCAATAGAGACTGTAGATTGAACTTCTGAAGGAAAAAGGCCAATTGTTTTTTTAAAATACAGGATTTAGTTAGCTGTTTGATGACTGTACACCAATAAAAGAGGAAGAGGAAGAAATCTTTTCCAGAGCACACTACACTAGGTGGGATAAACCTACTATGTGCCATGTAGTAGGGTCAAATACAATGATTTTAAAAAGTTTTGGTGGGGATGCTCAGAACATCATAATGGAATCAGCTTGACAGTGAGAAGATCCCGAGGCTTCATATTTACCACTACCAGCTATACGACTTAACATGTTATAGTCAGCTCTCTAT